TGCCCTGGATTAAGAAAAAACGGTTACTCACCTTTGTAACTGTTGTTCTTCGAGATGTGTTGCTCATATCCATTCCAATTAGGTGTGCGTGTGCATGATCGAAGAATTTTTACCCTAGCAACACCCGGTGGGTCGGCTGTGGAGCCCCCTGGAGTGGTGCCTTCATGGCGCTAGATATATATCCCAGCCGACCCAGCGCCCCCTCAGTTCCTTCTTGCCGGCTACTCCAACAGAGGGGAAGGAGAGCGGGTTTGGAATGGATATGAGCAACAGACTTACAAAGGTGAGTAACCGTTTTCTTCTTCAAGTGTTTGCTCGTATCGATCCAATTAGGTGACTCCCAAGCATTACCTAGGTGGGGTCGGAGTGAGACATTGCAGAGTGCAGAACCACTGAGCCAAATGCGGCATCGTCTCTAGACTGCTGAACTAATGCGTAGTGAGCGGCAAAGGTATGTACAGATGACCAAACTGCCACTCTACAGATCTCATGGATTGGAACCTGTGCCAGGAAAGCAGCCGACGAGGCTTGAGCCCTCGTGGAGTGGGCGGTGAGGCGTGGCGTCGTGACACCGGCCAAGTCGTAGCAAGCACTGATACAGGATATGATCCAAGAGGAGATACGTTGTGAGGAAACCGGTAGGCCTTTCATCCGGTCAGCCACTGCAACGAAGAGTTGAATCGTTTTCCCAAACAGCTTCGTACGCTCGATATAGAATGCGAGGGCCCTACGAACGTCCAGAGAGTGCATACGTTGATTCTGCCGCGTAGCGTGTGACTTCGGATGGAAGACTGTGAGGAAAATATCCTGGTTCACATGAAAAGCTGTTAGCACCTTGGGGAGAAAGGCAGGGTGGGGGCGAAACTGCACCTTGTCTTTATGGAAGACTGTATACAGAGGCTCTGACAGGAGGGCTCTGATTTCAGAAACATGACTCACTGAAGTGATGGCTACAAGGAAGGCTGTCTTCCAAGATAGGTAAAGGAGTGAGCAGGTAGCCATTGGCTCGAACAGGGGCCCCGTGAGCCTGGGAGAGGACCAGGTTAAGGTCCCACGCCGGAACCGGTTGATGCAGTTGTGGGTAGAGGTGATCTAAGCTCTTCAGGAATCTAACAACCATCGGGTTAGAGAAGACAAAGGAAGCATGTTCTCCTGGATGGAAAGCTGAGATGGCTGCCAGATGCACCCTGACAGATGGTATAGACAGGCCCTGCTGCTTTAGGGATAGGAGATAGTCCAGTATCAGTGGTATCGACGCCTGCAAGGGTGGCATGGCGCGTTGCTCACACCAACAGGAGAAGCACTTCCATATGGCTAAGTAGGTGGCCCGAGTGGAGGGTTTCCTGCTCCCTAAGAGAACCTGCTGCACGGATTGTGAGCAGAGTAACTCTGCCCGAATTAGCCAGGCAGCATCCACGCTGTAAGCGGAGATCAGGTATGGCCACAGTGGGAGTGTGATCGGAGGCTCTACCAACAATTTCAGGAGTGTGGTGTACCAGTGCTGCCTGGGCCATGCTGGGGCAACTAGAATCATGCGTTCCTTGTCCCTGCACAGCTTAAGCAGGACCCTGTGGACCAGCGGGAATGGAGGGAAGGCGTAGAACAGCTGGTATTTCCACGGAAGTAGGAAAGCGTCTGATAGGGAACCCTGAGAGCATCCGTGGAGAGAACAGTACACTTGGCACGATTGATGCACGAGGCAAATGGGTCGACCTGGGGAAACCCCCACCTCAGGAAGATGGAGTGGATGATATCTGGATGAATCGACCACCCGTGAGTCTGGAATGACCTGCTGAGGCGGTCTGCCAGCGTGTTCTGGACCCCTGGGAGAAACTATGCCATCAGATGTATCGAGTGGACTATGCAAAACTCCCACAGGCGAATGGCCTCCTGGCATGGGGGGACGACCGGGCTCCCCCTTGCTTGTTGATGTAGAACATGGCCGTGGTGGTGTCTGTGAGGACTGCCACACAACGGCCATGTAGGAGACCACGAAACGCCTGACACACTAGGCGTACTGCCATCAGTTCTCGTACATTGATGTGCAGCGCTAGTTTGGATGTGGTCCAAAGGCCCTGCGTCTGGTGTTCCCCAAGGTGGGCGCTCCAGCCCAGAGATGATGCGTCTGTGTCAAGGTATAAGGAAGGTTGTGGGGTGTGAAATGGTACCCCTTCACACACCGACGTGTGGTTCAGCCACCAGCTGAGGGAGATCAAGACCGATTCCGGAATCGTGACCACCATGTTCAGGCTGTCCCGACCTGGACGATATACCGTTGATACCCAGGCCTGAAGTGGGCGGAGCCGAAGTCTGGCATGCCTGGTTATGTAAGTGAACGATGCCATGTACCCCAGAAGGCCGAGGCACGTCGTTATCATGGAAGTCGGGAAGTTTTGGAGGCTGCGGATGATGTTTGCCTTAGCCTGAAAACAAGTGCCTGGCAGGAGAGCGCGGGCGAGTCTGGAGTCTAAGACTGCCCCAATAAACTCTATTCTTTGGGTTGGTTCCAGAGTTGACTTTTCGCTGTTGAGCAAGATGCCCAGCTTGTGGAACGTGCCTAGGGTGCGTCAGACATGGGATCACACTTCGTCTCTGATGTGGCCCCGAATGAGCCAGTCATCTAGATACGGAACACCTGGATCCGTTGTCAACGAAGGTAGGCTGCCACGACAGCCATACATTTGGTGAACACTCTTGGAGCCATGGACAGCCCGAAGGGCAGGACAGCAAATTGGTAGTGTTCGTGATTTACCACAAAGTGAAGGAAGCGCCTGTGCGGAGGGTAAATTGCTATGTGAAAGTACACGTCCTTCATGTCGAGGGCGGCGTACCGGTCTCCAGGATAGCGATAATGGTCCCCAATGAGACCATGCGGAACTTCAATTTTACCATGAATTTGTTGAGTCCGCACAGATCTAATATGGGTCGAAGTGCCCCTTTTTGCCTTGGGGATTAGGTAATAGCGGGAGTAAAACCCCCTGCCCCTTAGTTCCGATGGAACCTCCTTGATCGCTCCCATGGACAGGAGCGTAAAGACGTCCTGTATAAGTAGTTGCTCGTGAGAGGGGTCCCTGAAGAGGGACAGGGAGGGAGGATGGGAGGGGGGAAAAAAGAAAATTGGAGAGAATATCCCCTTTCCACCATGTGAAGAACCCATCGGTCTGAAGTTATAAGGAACCACACATGGTGGAAATGGGAGAGACGATCTCGAAATGGAGGGAAAGGATCCTGGATGGTGACTAGTACACCGTCCTCGGGCACACCTTCAAAAATTTTGCCTAGGCCTGACGATGGCTTAGGAGGGCCTTGGTTCTGACCAGGTCGGTGGCCGGTGGATCTCTTTCTGCCACCTCGTCCACGTCTTACCATACACACTATATTGTAGTGGTAATGAAAATGGGTAAAACTATTTCCCCATGCTTATTTTTCCCCCCCTACAGTTCCTCACATCTTCTTGTCAATTGCTGGAAATGATCTATTTTCATTACCACTACAAACAGTTCTTTTCTCTCCTGCTGATAATAGCTCACCTTAACTGATCACTCTCCTTATAGTGTGTATGGTAACACCCATTGTTTCATGTTCTATGTGTGTGTGTATATATATCTTCCTACTGTATTTTCCACTGCATGCATCCGATGAAGTGGGCTGTAGCCCACGAAAGCTTATGCTCAAATAAATTTGTTAGTCTCTGAGGTGCCACAAGTACTCCTCGTTCATTTTGCGGATACAGACTAACACGGCTGCTACTCTGAAACCTGTTATTTTGGATGAGATGTCCAACAGAGGTGATGACTTGTTAACTAGAGAACTTTAGGTAAAGAGTCAGACTTTGGAAGGTCTCTCCCAAGAGGGGGAAAAAAAGGCACTTTAAATTATTACCTGTTTGTACACATCCAAAGCGAATAAGATGGACACCGAACAAGAATGCATTCTGACCCAAAACCATGAATCTAAAACTGTCAGCTCTAGCCTATCTCTATTGTATGGTTAGCATATGCGCCTTCGTTTGGTATGGAAATAACATTTAAAATGGGTAAAATATAATCCTCTCAGTCCTGTTCAATGTTTAAATGCTTGTTGGAATCCTAGCTTTAACATCAACTACATTTTTGCACTGCAGGTTGTTAGGACACTGTTTTCTGGCTCATTGCTTGTTATGCAACTATCCTCACAAGAAAAAATCTAAAGTAATTTTTTTAGCAGCTTCAGGTGGAAAAAGGAAGCAGTGATAGATAAATAAGCTTTGCATAGCACTAACCTCTTATTTTGTTAAAAGCTGGCTGAAGACTTGGACTTGTGGTGTAGTGTTTGTGAACTACTAAAGTACATGACTCATTGTTCTGTGAGATCTGCTCTTGCAGTAAGATGAGGACTTTGGCTCCTTAGGCTGACTGGAAAGATTCCCTCTCTGAACAAGCATCCTGCTTCCCCGGGGAGAACTGACTGAACCTACTCATTGTTTATCAAATAATTTGACAAAAGGGTCTGTGCTTTTGCTCTAGTGCCCATGTGGTTCTGTGAGTTAATGCATGTGCCCTTTCACTCTGAATTGGTTGTTTTAGATTGCTTAGGTCACAAGTGAAAATTAGATGTTTGTCCCCATAGGCACAGTTGTCATTTTCTGTTCAGAGAAGTAAACTGTTTGTTGTGATGAAACTTACATCTGCTGCAAATCGGTATTCTTAGTTTCTCATTTTACAGCCTGTTCTCCCCATTCCTTTCCTCAAATTCATGTTTGATGTTACATTTGTACAGGGGAGATGATGGAATCTGATAAGATCGATTGCCAAACAAAGCTCAGCACTGGAGTTGAAGGGTGGGTTAACACTGCTTAGTTTAGTGAATCAGATTTATAATATTTCTAGCACAGCATTCTCAGCATTAAACAAGCATCTACAGTTTGCTAGCTTGCTTTTTACTGATAAAGCTAATGAAAAGTAAGACAGCAATGACCAGACTAAGGTCAGTTTATAAAATGACTTCATTGTCTTTTCTAGTGGCGGGGAGAATGATGGTGATGACTTCGACCAGGACTGGAAACCCCCAGATAATGAGCTGATCCAGAAGCTTATAATACAGGTTGAATATTATTTCTCAGATGAGAACCTTGAGAAAGATGCCTTCCTCTTAAAGCATGTGAGAAGAAATAAGATGGGTTATGTCAGTGTTAAGCTACTCACGTCTTTTAAAAAGGTAGGTTTCATTTCTGAAGGGCCTTTAAATCTACTCTATCCAACTTAATGAGCTATTGAACAGATATGGCACACTGCCTTTTTTGGCCAGTCTGAAGGGTTGATGCAATTAACATCCTACTGTCACAACGTTTTAGAAGAAAAGAACAAAGGTATAAATAGTCAGACAACACTTCTTGATTTGCCCAAGAAATTGTGTAAGTCCATCAAGCCTAAAGGAGAATGAAATTTAGAAAAAGCATCCCTTCCTACCAAGCAAGATCTTAACCTGTCTTTTTTTTTTTCCCCCTTAGGAACTCCTAGCTTTAGGGGGGAGACTTTTAAAATGACATGGCAGACTTTTTTTTTTTTGAGCCAGCACCATCCTAAAGATTTTTACCTATACAGATTTAAGAACTTGGCTGTACAGTTTGGTCCAATAGCTATAGTGCTCTGAGAGTCAGGACTTGTGGGTCCTAGGCCTGATATTTTGCCTATAATCCTCTGAAAGGCAGTATGGAAGTGCCTATTTCACTATTCGGAAGATAGGGACTCTGTTTAATTGTTTTCTCAAATTAAGCACAAAAATAAGGTAATGGGACAGAGCGGGAGGCTACCTGTTTGGAATTTGATGCACCAGGCAAAGCAACTGTTGAATAGCATGCCTTTGGGATGAGATGGGAATAGAAAGATTCTAAGAACTCTTGAAGAGGCATATAATAGCCATAGAAATAATGACTTGTTTAGTCTGGGTAAGTCTGCAGTTGGTGATGACTCTGATCTCCAATCATGTAAAAGGAACAGGAGGTTCACAACATCTTACTGATGCTCACAGTGACAGTAGGGAAACATTTTTAAACCTACTTTCTGTTCAGGGGGGATACTACAGAAGTCTTTGGCTGATCTTTCATTTGAAATCCAACCCTGTTTGGTCTCAGGTTTTCAATAGCTGTAGAACTATTAATTCTGGTGGTTTTAATGAGCTGCATTAAAGTGTAACCCTTTTCTTAAAGGTAAAACATCTTACCAGAGACTGGAGAATCACAGCCTATGCCTTGAAGTATTCTGACATTCTTGAGCTGAATGAAGATAGCAGAAAGGTTAGAAGAAATACCCCAGTTCCAGTGTTTGCTAGTGAGACCCTGCCTAGCAAGATGCTGCTTGTGTATGATATCCACTTGATTTCTGAGCTACAGGTTCTGAGCCAGGAGCAAGAAAATGGATGCATGCAAGAAAAGATGATGGAGCATCTTCTCAAGACCTTCGTTACTTTTGGTGCAATCTCATCAGTTCGCATTCTCAAACCTGGTAAGGATCTTCCACCTGATGTCAAGAGATTCAGTAATCGATACACCCAAGTTGGAACAAAGGAATGTGCAATAGTAGAGTTTGAAGAAGTAGATGCAGCAATTAAAGCTCATGAAATCATGTGTATTGAAAAGAATAATGAAATTGGCATGAAAGTTATCCTGATAGGTATGAAGCCTCCAAAGAAAAAAGTTGTGAAAGACAAGAATCATGATGAAGATCCCAGCAAGTCTCTCAACAAAATTAGATCCCTGAATAAGAGAGTTGAGGAACTTCAGTATGTTGGGGATGAATCATCAGCAAACAGCTCTTCTGATCCAGAGAGTAATCCTACATCTCCACTGTCTGGACGCAAGACTAATACTTCCAACAAGTTGAGCCCTACCACCTATCAGAACAACCACCTGAGCCCTAATGTTTCACCTAGGTCAAGTCCCTGGAATAGTCCATCATCTTTGCGCAAAGTGTCCAAGAAGTCTCCACTTGCTAAAGATGGCAAATTTAATCCTAGCACTAGCCCTGAAATCTCAAGGAAATGTGCAGATTACTCTTCAGATAGCAGTATCACACCTTCTAGTAGCCCATGGGTTCAGAGAAGAAGACAAGCTCAAACTGTAACACAAGAAAAAAGTCCAGTAAGTAGCCCAATGCTTGCCCGGAAAATACAAAATGCAGATGGGTTACCTGTAGGAGTGTTGCGGTTACCCAAAGGTCCTGATGGTACTAAGGGATTCCATAATGGATGCGAAAGGAATAAACCTATGAAGAATGAATAAATCTTGGGTATTTTTTTAAAACAAGTTTCACAAATCAATTTATTTTTGTTCAAGCCTGGTAAAAAAAACTAGCACTTAAGTGACTGAATGAAGTCAGTATTTAATTTTTAAAGGTTTTGTATTCACGTAGAGACTCATTTGTATATTTGTATTTGCACTTAATCTGCATTATTTTTATATTTTTTTTTGTTTAAAAGAGCTGAACATTGAAATGTTACTTTTTTTATGCCAGGTATTTAAAACCATTTATGTAATTGCATTTTTGTGCAAAGCTATGATTCTGAACAGCAATGTGTAAACACTTGATAATATTTAGCTGTTGTACCATAGCATTTCAAAGCAATACATCACCAGTCTGTTTACTAAGAGGTTTGAAGGCTTCCTATTTTCAGTATGTTGAAAGGAACACTAAGCTGTAATGTCATGTCTGACTCTGTGTTTGCTTAAACTTCCAAAGATGCTATATAATAGGACCAAACTGTGTGTATTTTCTGTGATGTGAATAAAAAAATGCTGAGCAATGAAAACTGTTTTCTAGGTATCAGATTCTAATGTTCAAAATTATCAGATAAAGACTAAAGGTTCTAAAGTGTGTGACCGTCTAAACCAAATTGTTTAAATGGGTGTTTCCTATAAAGTAGGCTGAACAGTTTTCTTTGAAATATGGAATACCTACATCTTCCAACCCTGTCTGGCCCAGGTTTAGATCTCAAGTTTCATATGACTTGCTCTACGTGTTGTGCGAGGACATCATGTGTATATGCCAAGTGACCAATGCAGTTTAGAGTGAATCCTGTGTGTAAGCTAGGCCTTATATTAATGTATATAGGCAACCTAAGGGCTAGTCTACACTAGAATCTCTACAGTGGTGCCGCTGTACTGATGTAGCTGCGCCACTGTAGCACTGCTAGTTCAGACACACTATGCTGACAGACGAGAGCTCTCCTGTCAGCATCACTCCACCTCCCTGAGTGGCTGTAGCTATGTCAGCGGGACAGCTTCTCCCGCCAACAGCACCTTCCACACCACACTTTTCCATGCCCGTGAGTGACTTGCATTATACGGAAGTAAGCACCGGTGTGTACAAGCCCTAAGTTTAGCTCATTAAGAACATGACTCTCAGAAATTTCTATCTTCAAAAAGCATCCAGACAGCAAAGCCATAAGCATTCAACATATTTGAACACAGGTGGTGTGCATGTTTTGTTTTGTTTTGTTTTGCCTAAGTACGTATCAATACCTAGAATATTTCCTCAGGATTGCACAAGTATGAGCACACTCAGTCTTCACTTTTTTTTAAAAAAGCCATTGCAGCTGGCAGAAGTCCAGATTAGATGAATCACTTCATCTGGGGCAATGCATGTATTCCTAAGAAGCTGTCATAGCTCAGGCCTCTTGTCAAGCAGGGTAATGTGCCTCTAGGTCTAAACTTCATCCTACAGCAAAAGGTCACCATAACAGCAGAAACTATCTTGGAGGTATTGTTACTTACTTGATTTTTAAAAATTGGGACTGTTGGTTAACCCAGTAGAACAGGGAACTGAAGAAAATCAGGCTTCACTAAAGAACACATGAGCTATTGGGATGAAAATTAAGTTTGAGGAAGAGGTAATCAAATTAGGTAAACAAGTTGGCTATTGGCAGTTGCTTCATAGAGAAACAGTTTCTCCTCATCTCTAGCAAAAGGGAGTAAATTAGCTGTACCTACACAAACAAGTTGTCTTGCTGGTCCCTTTTCGAGGCTGATATAAATTAATACACTCTAGCATAGAGGCCTATTATTCATTTTCTGAGAATAACATACCTCATCCATGAGGTGGGGTGGGGAAGAAGCTTGGGGAAGGGGTCCTCTGGATGGAGTGGTTTAAAATCCTAAATTTGTCAAACTACTTATAGCCCAGTTGGCTGGATTTGAGTTGATATGTTCTTCAATAGGAAATCTTAGAGAATAGCACAGCTTTTCTGAGGTGCCACATAGTTTGAATAAGCAGTTGTGGTAGAAGCAAGAGGGCATATGATAAATGGCTATAAAATCATGAATGAGGGTGAGAAAATGAATAGGAAAGTGTGACTTACCTATTAATTTTATTGGGTGACCCCTGGTTCTTATGGTATGTGAAGGGGTAACAGGTTTAAGACAAACAAAAATGTACATCACACAAAGCCCAGTCAACCTGTGGAACTCATTGCCATCGGAGGGTGAGAAGGCCAAAACTGGGTTTAAAAAAAGTATTAACTTCATGGAGGATAGAGTCATCAGTCCCTATTAGCCAAGATGGTCAGGGAAATGAGCCCATGCTCAAACTGTCCCTAAACATCCAGCTAGGAGAGCCTCACACTGGACAACAGGAGATGGATCACTTGATAATTGCTCTGTTTTGTCTATTCCCTCCAAACCCTCTAGAACTAGCCACTGTCAGCAGACAGGATCCTGGGCTAGATGAACCCTTGTTTTGACAAAGCACAGCCATTCTTACAAAACATGTTCTGCCTAGCAATAGGCTGTAATTTAAAGTTTCCAAGTGGGAGCTCCAACCTCTGTCAAATACAGCAGCATGAGCACTTTTCAACCAGGCTGAAAAGTAACCACTTCATCAGTACTGTCAAACAATGTTTTCTACCCAGTAGACTTGCTGTGTTTATTACAAGCCAAAAGGAAAAATAGCATTCACTGTCCCTGGGCTTGGGGTCCATTTTTAAGTGGTTATCTATAGCTAACAAAAACAAATTTCACTTTATTTTGTGTAGCACAACTGATATTAAAGTAGCTGTATCTTTACCTTTTTTAAAAAAAAAGTTTCCTCAAACATTTATCTAGCAAATAAGCTCATCTCTATTTGAGCGGGGAGGCAATATATGCTTACAGAGAAAACAAGTAAAAATAGTAAAGCTTACTAGAGCTGTACCATTGTTTCACTCAGTATGCAGGCCTCAAAAGTAAAATTTATTCCTGTGTATCACTGATGCTTTGAATATGAAATCTTCTCCTGGACTCAGAATCAGCTGGTTTTGCTTGAAACTTTTTGATGCAACAGCACAACTAATTAACATCAGAAGTGTTCCACTCACTGCTCAACGAGTATCTGCCAGTAACTTGGTCCTTTTTTTAATTCACACATTAAAAAGTACTATTTCACAGACAACCCCATCAGAAAACTGTATCCTAGAAAAATACTAATGAAGTCAGCAGGGAATACTAGCCCATTGATGAGGCCTATTCATTCCAGATGCTAAAACCTGGTTAAACTATAAAATCCTCAGACTGCAACAACCTTTCGTCAGGGAGCTGAAGTGCAGTCACTTTTCCTTACAGAAGTGAAAAAAGGGGAATATAGTCTCATAATTAGCTAGAGCCACATTCTGCTGTTTACTGTCACTAAGTATTGCCCCACTCTACAAGTATTCCCAGAGACTTCAGTGAGCCTACTCATGGTTTGTGAGTAAAGATATCAGAATCTAGTCTCAAGGTTGCTAACAAGGTCCTAAACTTACTTTGAGTCCAGGTAACAAGATATCCAGGCCGATTTCATGTCATTTTCCTTACTTCACCATGACCATATACTTCTTGGTTGAGAAACACATTTTGTGGAAACCCTGATTATGCAGATTATGGAGCTGCCATGTAGACTCATTCTTTGCCAATGCCCTGGCCTGCTAGATGGTCTGCTTGCCATTCAATGGCCATCTTTGAAGAAAGAGGACTATTGACTATTTTAGTCAATATACTTATTTTACCATCTTAGTTCCAAAAAAGGCCAAAACAAAAGTCACCAAACACTTCAACATTCCATATTCATATTTTATACAGTCTCAATAAACTTACAAATAAATAATGTACAGGCCTTGGAACTAAAGCCTGTAAGTTTGTTTAATATCAGTTGAAGAATGGGAATGCGAATGAAAAATATTTATTTTTTTCTGTCCGGATAACTTTTACTTCAGCTATTAAATATGATGGGCATATTAACTGTTATCATATCTGGAGAGTAGGTCCAATCATGCATCACTGGGAGTCAAAACAATTGTGTAATTAAGGGTAACATCTGGTTCTTTGTATCTACAAGCACATTCTACATTTGGTTATTATGGAGAAAGCTCTCAGGCTGTAGTGATCAGTCTGATTAGTTAGTATGTGTATTTTTTAACATTGCTAAGAACTAATGATTGGTAAATTCAATTGGAGTTTTGTTCAATAAATAACCCCAGACTTTAGTCCTTCCTGAATGGCTGGAAGGTTCGTTGAGTACATATTATCTGGATTAAAAGGATCAATTTGAAATATTTATGTTTTAACTACACTATAATTTCTATACTTCAGCTAAACAAAATTAGGGTAAAGTATGTTTTGCTTATAAATCAATTTTCTTTTATGATCTTGAGTACTAATATAGCATATGGCAAATAAGTTACAATTTACTGATGATATTCTGCCAAGAACTATTTAACATTTAAAAAACTACTCTTACACTATCTACATAGTGTGACGGTGTCAACAGCATCAAAGTACATGATCCCGTGGCGAAGCTTTGAGCATCCAGTGTTGTAGAACATGCAAGGTAAACATGGAGCTGAGAAAAGAAGAACAGGAGTACTTGTGGCACCTTAGAGACTAACAAATTTATTAGAGCATAAGCTTTCGTGGACTACAGCCCACTTCTTCGGATGCATCCGAAGAAGTGGGCTGTAGTCCACGAAAGCTTATGC